CAGGCTGCAGCCCGTCCAAGGAGGCACACTCAGGAAGCAACTCCGGGGAGGCCTCCGTGGGCACGAATTTGGGCGACTGGTAAGACGAAGCCAAGACGAGGATAACATCGGGTGGGGATAAATCGAGAATCGCTGAGATTTGGGCGGCTGTGGAAGGTGTCTCGGTGTCTCGGCGCCGCGGCCTTCTCAGAGCGTTCTGGACAAACCCTTCCAATGAGACACGCTCAGGAAGCAACTTCTGGGAGATTCGTGATCACGAGTATGAGCGCTTGGGCCCGACTCATCAACCACTTCGCTGGAGTAAGCTGGACTGAGCCCGAGATTGCCCAGGATTTAGAGGGTCAAGCGGCATTGTGCCAGATTACGTATGCCAGTGAGGACCACTGATATACTTAGGTCGGGCATGTCCCCCTACAGGCGGATCTTGGACGAAAATTGCCAAATAGTCAAGCATAGTCGAAAACATCGTCCCCAGAGCATTTTTGGAGAACATTCCTCCTGTAGAGGGACGTGCCCGACTAAAAGACATACCAGCGCCGATGCTCGGTTTACCGTCCCAGGGGTTGCATCCCGGACGCACCGCCCCGCAGTGGCCCTGGGCGCATCTTGGCCGAGGGCCAGGCGAAGATGGCAGCCCGCGGCCCCTCCGAGGAGGCGCACCGCCAGGCAACGGCCCCTCACCGCCCTCTCCCCAGACCCCCTCGCAGTGAGAAGAGATCGCGTGATGTTTTTCACTGCTTTGGGCCTCCGGGGGCCCTTACCGGGCCTCGGGGCCGTCAAAAAAGGACTCAGGATGCAAAACCGGTCCTGGGGAAGGGGTCCAGACCTCTTCTGGGTCGACGTTGCGAAGACATCATGGCGTCGGGGGTCTGGGTCTGCACGATCGCCCGGCGTCTTGATTCTTCACTGCGAGGGCGTCCAGGCCCGTTCCCCGCGCAGCTTGCTGGGGCCGGCGGCGTGTCCCGCAAGGGCTTCCCGACACGTTTCCAGCACGTGCGTCGCAAGCGTTTGCGCAGCTCCTGTGCAGCCCTGCCAGGCTCGCGCGCGGCTCCGAGTCAGCTCCCAGGCAGCGCTTCCTGGGCTCGAGCAGCGCCTCTCCCCAGGGCCAGCTTTTCATCCTGCGTCGTTTTTTCAAAGTCCCGGGGCCTGGCGAGGGTCCTTAGAAGCCGACCACGGCCCAAAACCATCCGCCGTGGCTTCGCTCGCGACGCGAACACGTCTGGGTGTCTGCCCCCTTCGATGCACCGCGAGGGCCTCCAGCATCCCGCCGATCACCGCGCCGCAGAGGGGCAGCAAGGGACGGAGCTGTGGGTGGCAGCGCCCCTCCAGCAGGTCGGCCACCGCGGCCGGCGCCCGGAAGTAGGTCCTCCGCAGCCAGAACGTGCCCACGACTACCGCTCGGGAGCCGTGCCCTCAGGATCTCGAGGAGGAGTGGGTGTGGACGGCCCGCTCGCATTGGGCGATCCCATTTCCGTAACCCGAGGAAGCCATCAGGATCCCCCCCGGGGTTGTTGTCAAGAACGCCCGCATCAAAATCCTCCGACACTGTCGGCGTGTGTGAAGGGCTTCTCTGGTCAAGTCGTCGTCGACGACGTCGCTGTCGCCGCTCCTCCCCTGTCCGTGGGTCCTCCCCCTCCTCTTCCTCAAGCTTCCCACGCAGAGGGAACTCGAGTAACGTCGCAATGGAGCAGGAGGGAAGCTCACTCCCCTCGATCCCTTCCCCGCTGGAAGGGTGGAGGTGGGGGGGGAATGGAGGCATGGGACAAACTACCACCAGCCGGAACAACTTCCAACCAGTTTGATGCGTATTCCGACCACTTTGGTCATACGTTCCGCCACTCTGGCATGAATTCCAAACAGGCGTCTTACGGGCGTCTTTCACAGGCGTCTCTAAGAGGCGTTTTGCGGGCGTCTCTGAAGGGGCGTCTTACAGGCGTCTCTTAGAGCCGTCGTACAAGCGTCTCACACGCGTCTCGGACGAGGCGTCTTATAGGCGTCTCACAGGCGACTCTAAGAGGCGTCTCTGAGAGGTGTATTACCGGCGTCTCTGAGAAGCGCCTCACACGCGTTTCTGAGAGACCTTGTAACCCTTACACTCTTAAGACCTTAAAGTCATAACTCATTCAAGCCTTAAATGCTAAAACCCTTAAACCATTAAGTGCTACTGTATCCCTTGAACCTTTAATTTTTAAGTCCCTAAAACACTTAGGCCCTCAACCCTTTTAAACCCGTACGTCCTTAAACCCTAAAGCCCTCAAACCTTAAGGCCGTAAACCCTTAAGCCATTAGGCCCATACGCCCTTAAACCTTACGCCCTAAAACCCTTAAACACTGAATCACTAACATCCTAAACCCTTTGAGCCCTTAAACCATGAAGCCCTTTAATACCTCAGCCCTTAAGCCCTGAAACCCTTGAATGCTTAAACCTTGACCCTTAAACCCTTGAGCCGTTAAAACATTAAGCCCTGAAACCGCCAAACCCTTACACCATTAAACCATACCCTTGACAATCAAATTCCGGACAAACCTTGTCCTCGTTGTCTGGGGAGTGTGGTTCGGCCTTTTTGTTCTGAAAGGTATGACACACATTCATTCACACCGCCATCCACACCCGCACCTTGAACTTCACATCATCGCATACTGTTTTGGTACGAACTCCAACCCAGGCAGTCATGTTCGCTTCTGGAGCACATGTGCACATGTCAACATATTACTGGATTCTGGGATATACTACCATCACCTCACACTTAGAAGCATGTAGTGAATATCATTGGCCGAATGGAATTAATACCAATCTGTCTTTTCGTGCTGTTTGAAAAAAATACCAGCTGGTTGGGATTGGTACCACTTGGTTGGGATTAGTCGAGATGCGGGGGGAAGGCCCCCAGGGGGGGGGGTCCCGTGGGGTGTGCACCTCCCTCTCTGGGGGGAGCACCCCTCCCTGAGAGAAGCTTCCCCTCCCAGACGACTCGAGCTCACTTGTACTGCGGCTTCCTCCAAGAGGGCCCCGAACCAGCCCAAGATCGCTCCAAGACGGCCCAAGATGCTCCCAAGGTGGCCTCAGACCCCACAGGACGCCCTAAGAAGGCTCTAAAAGGAGCCCCAGGGAGGGCTCCAGGGCAAGAGCCTCTCAGTGATTTTGTGCTTTTCAGTGCTACTTCCCGTCCTCGCCTTTCGGGGCTTCCAGCGCTCCAAGACGGCCCATCCTCCTCCTCCTCCTCCTCGTCCTCCTCCTCCAAATCGTCCCAAGACGGCTCACCAGGCTGCCGACAACGCCCCCCAAAGTGCCCCAAGACTGCCCAAGATAGCCCCAGGAGGCCCCCAAGACAGCCGAGGAGGGCCCCAGGAGGGCCCTAAGAGGCTCGCGACGGTGGGAACACGAATCGACATGTCGAGCCTTCTGCCCCAAGAGGCTACTAGGAGACGCCATGAAGCGCCCAAGGAGCCCACAAGAGGCCCCCAAGAGGCCCAAGGGAGCTCCACGAGCACTCCCAAGAGAACCCCAGGAGGGCAAAATCAACGATGCTCATTCAGTTGTTGAATGTTTTTTGTCGTCGCCGTGGTCGTCGTGGTCGTGGTCGTGGTCGTGGTCGTGGCCGTGGCCGTGGCCGTGGCCGTGGTCGGGGTCGTGGTCGTGGTCGTGGTCGTGGTCGTGGTCGTCGTCGTCGCCGTCGTCGTCCCCCTTCAGGGTCGGCGGCACCGGTCGCAATGCCTTCGCAGTACATGATTCTGGGGTGCACCATGGGGGTAGCGAGTTATGTAATTGCCACCAAACGCATAGACTGAAATCCGCCGACCCCCGCTTGCCGGGGGCGACGAGGTGTGTGAAATGATTGGTGGTCCCCCTTCCCCCTTTCCCCGTCCCCTGGGCTCCAAGAAGCCCCCAGACGGGTGAAGAGAACCGCAAAGAAGCTCCTTTGGCGTGCCCAGAGGGATCCGAGACGGCCTAAGAGCGCTCCAAGACGTCCAAGATGGCTTTCAGACTGCCCACGAGGCCCCCAAGACGCCTCAAGAGCGCTCCAAGAGGCTCCCCGGAGACGCCAAAATGAGTGATGTCCCTTTCGATTCTGAAGAAGTTGAGCGTTCCTGCCTTTTCGGGCTACGGACGATCGAAGACGGCCCACGAGGCCCAAACGATCGCCCCAAGAGGCCCCCCCAGAAGGCCCAAGAAGGCTTTAAGGGCCCCAAGATGGCCCCCGAGGCCCCCAAGATAGCCCCAGGAGGGCCCCAAGACAGTCTCAAGAGGGGAAACGCGAAACAACGTTTCGAGACCTCTGCGCTCAGATCGCCAGCAGGCCCCCTAGAGGCCCCCCAGAAGCCCCAGAATGCCTCCCAAGAGGCCTCACAAATACTCCCGAAACGCCCCAAACCAGCCTTCAACAGGACGCCAAGAACATGTGTACCTGCAAACATCAGACGCATTGGCGCCGGCCGCACAGGACGCCATAAACATGTGTACCTGCAAACATCAATTCTTCAACCACCGACGCATTGCGCGCCTTCCGGGTGGCCGGCGGGACGGGCCGAAGCCCCAGGGGGAGTTCTTTTGGAAAAGAACCAAAACCAAAACCTAGAGGGTTCAGCACGCCAGGCACCCCTGCGATGAATCGACAGGAGGCGGCGGATCCTAGTGGCCTTCGGCCCATCTCGCCACCGTGTCTGGGTTGTGGGTCTGAAGCCTCTTGTAATGTGTTTGGCTGTCGTGGGGAGCCTCTCGGGGGCCTCTTCGAGGCGGTTTCGGCGCCGCTTGGGGGCCTCTTGGGGCCTCGTGGGGTACCTTTTGGGCCTCTTGGAGGCCTCTTTGGCGCGTCTTGGGCGCCTCTTGGGGCCTCGTGGGGCGTGCTGGGGGCTTCTCGGGGCTTCTCGGAACGCTTCTTGGGCCATCTTGGAGCCCTCTCAGGCCGTCTTGGGGCCCTCTTGGAGGCGTCTTGGGGTGTCTTGGGGCGGTCTTGGGAGCTTCTTGAGCATCATGGAGCGTAGGAGAGCCGAAAATGCGAGAACCCCAAGCTCCTTTTAAAACTTGTGTACAATCGAAGATGTTGGCCTCTTGGGGTTATCTGGGGAGGCCTCTTGGAGCGCTTTTGGGGCCGCTTGGGGCGTTCTTGGGGCGTCTTGGAATCATTTTCGGGCGCCTTGGAGCATTCTTGGTCTAGGCAATGAACATATGGCTGAACTTGTTAGGGTTTATGGCCACGTGGACGCGAATATTGAATCATTTACGAGGGCTTGTTGCCTCGGGGACGCACACATTGAGCAATGTGCGAGAATGTGTGGCCTCGGGGGCGCGAGCACGGAGTATTTTACGAAGGGCTTCTGGCTTCGGGGATCCGACTATTGAGCAATTTGCGACGGTTTGCGGCCTCGGGGACGCTAATGTAGAGTAAGTTGCAAAGGATTCTTGCTTTGGGGACGCGGATATTGTGTAATTGACTGTGGTTTGTTGCCTCGGAGACGCCAGACTTGAGTAAGTTAAAAGGATGTGTTGCCTCGGGGACGCGACTATCGCGTAGTTAACAAAGGTTTTGTTGCTTCGGGGACGCAAGAATTGTATAATTTGCGAGGGTTGGTGGCCTCGGGGACGCACATGTTCAGTAATTTGCGAGGGATCGTTGCCTCGGGGGCGCATCTGCGACGCAGTTTACTGGGGATCGTGACCCCAGAAGCGCGAATGTAGCTTACAGGAGATCGTGGCCCCAGGGGCGCGACTTTGTTTACTTAACGAAGGATCGTGGCTTCGGGGACGCGAACGTGGCGCAATTTGTGAGGGATCGTGGCCTCGGGGGCGCAAGCATGGCGTAATTTACACGGGATCGTAGCGTCGGGAGCGCGACTGTGGCATAACTTACATAGGATCGTGGCCCCAGAAGCGCGAATGTGGCGTAATTTGCCGGAGATCCTAGCTTCGGGGGCACGAATACAACGTATTTTGCGAGGGATCGTGGCCTCGGAAACACGAATGTGTTGCAATTTGTGCAGGATCGTGGCCTCAGGGGCGCGAATACAGCGTAATCTACTCGGGATTATTACCTCGGGATCGCGAATCTCACGTATTTTTACGTGTCCCACGGCCCTGCAGGAATTCAGAGCACCCGATTCGGTCAAGGTAACCGGGTGGTTTTCGGCTCCCCCCCCTCGCGCGGACTTCAACAATTTACAATAGGAAGCAGAAGCAGGACTCTAACACTGGGGACTGGAAACTGGAACTGGTGCAGGGCATTGAAACCTCAGCCTCGCAGCCTGATGGCCCCGCCCCACAAGGGGGCCAGCGGATCTTATGGAAAATGAGCGATGCAATCGGCTGATCGGAGTGTGAGATGATTGGCTGTCCCCCCTCACCCTTTCCCCCTCCCCCAAGGTCCAAAATCTCATTTGAGGGGGTGGGGTACCCGGGCTCCCCTGCGCACCCCTGGAGACTACGGAGCTTCCAAATCTGCCTTCCTTGGGCTCGAAGACGTTCAAAGACGGTCCCGAATCGGCGACTGATTGGCCCAAGACGCCTACCCTACGATGGCTTCAAGACGTCCTAAGACGTCCTCGAGACGTCCCAAGAGAGGCCCACGAGCCTGCCCGACAGGGCCCCGAGAAACTAACATTCCTGGTTATCCTTAGGTTTTTCGCTGTTTCTGGGGTTACCGTGTTCTCGAGCTTCCGACGCCCCACTATGGCCCAAGAGGCCCCGTAGACCGCTCCAAAACTGTCTTGGAGGTCTCTACGAGAGCCCCAGAACGGTCCCAGAGGTTTCCAAAACGGCCCGAAGAAGTCTCCAAGAGAAGCCAAGAGGGATAACACGAATCGAACTTGCAATCTTTCCGCCCCAAAAGACCCCGCAAAAAAGGCCGCAAGAAGCTCCCAAGCGGCCCAAAAGAGGCCCACAATGAGCCCCAAGAGGCCCCCAAGAGGCCCCAAAGAGGTCCCCAAACGGGCCCAAAGACGCTTTAAAACTGCATCCAAAAGGCTCCACCAGGCCCCCGAACAGCTACCAAGACGCCCACGAGGATCCCCAGACAGTGCCCAAGAGACCCCCACGACGCCTCAACCGTGGACTCACCGCCTCATCTGGGGGCCAGCGGCATGGCGCAAGCCTCCTGAAAATCATCACAGGTAAATTGCAATGTCCCAGGGGGCCTCGAGAACCCCTGGGGGGGGGTGAGGATGGTGGAGTCTACTTCTCTTCTGACAAGGAAATCGCTGCGGCCGCCCAGCGCACCAGGCGCCCACGAGGCGCCCACTACCCGGTTTCCCCCAGAGCCGTAGGCGACCCGAGCAGGAGGAGGAGGAGGAGGAGGAGGAGGAGGAGGAGGAGGAGGAGGAGGAGGAGGAGGAGGAGGAAACGAGGAGGAGGGAGGAAAACAAGGAGGAGGGGGAGGAAAACGGGGAGGAGGGGGAGGAAAACGAGGAGGAGCAGGAGGAGGAGGAGGAGGAGGAGGAGGAGGAGGAGGAGGAGGAGGAGGGGGAGGAGGAGATGGAGGAGAGGAGGAGGAGGGGGGAGGGAGGAGGCGGAGGAGGAGGAGGAGGACGAGGAGGAGGAGGACGAGGAGGAGGACGAGGAGGAGGAGGAGGAAGAGGAGGAGGAGGAGGAGGAAGAGGAGGAGGAGTAGGAGGAGGAGGAGGAGGAGGAGGAGGAGGAGGAGGACGGGTCGCCCAAGCCTTTTGGAGAAACCCTCCAGCGCTCACGTGCGGGCACAGGGCGAAACTTCGACTGACTCACCCAGCGGGCACCAAGCGAAACTTCGGCTCACCCAGCCAGCGCACGAGGCGCCCATGGGTGCCCACGGGCAGGTACCGGGCGAAACCTCGGCTGACCCACCCAACGCACGAGGCGCCCCGGCGTTCACGGGCGCCTGCGGGCGATCACCCGGCGAAGCCCCGGCTGACCCATCCAATTCCGTAGGGGCACGAAGTAAGAACCCCAGTGTAAGCACTGTTTGGGAAATTGGAATCCTATTGGAATCCGACTGGAAACAAACAGGGCTCTTATGGGAGTCAAATTCAAGTCCTTCTGGGAACTTATTGGAATCTGATTGGCACCCCATTGGGATCAGATCGGGGTCCTTCGGGGTCCAATTATTGGGATCCGATGGGTATATGAAAAGAATCCAATTGGAGTCCTGTTTGGGATTCTGACGTTTTTTTTTGAATCGCGTTGGCAACACATTGGCATCCGACTGAATTTGTATTTAGATGTATCGGGGTCACATGGGGAAGCTATCGTATTCTGATTGGGATACATATCGGGGGTCCTACTGGAATCCGATGTTTTGGATGAAGTTTGGCCACTTGGGGTCCTGTTGGAACCATATTGGAGGAGGAGGAGGAGGAGGAGGAGGAGGAGGAGGAGGAGGAGGAGGGAGGAGGGGAGGGAGGGAGAGAAAGAGAGAGGGGGAGGGGGGACTCTCGACTGCTTCCTATGGTCGTCCACCGGTTTCCGAAAGCCCCACGGGGCACGGCCCTGGGGCGTTGGCCACGGCCAAATTCTGGCCGCGCGGGTCCGGATGTTATCGGCGAAGGCCGCGTCGGCGGCGCCCTCGACCGCAAACTCCAGCACGCGCGCCCCGCAAAGCACCTCCGCGAGCACCACGCCCACGCTCCAGATGTCCGCCGCGCACCCGTCGTAAGGGCCGTCCAGCACCTCTGGCCAGAAGGCGGTTCGGGGGCCCCAGACCCGTGTCACGTGACGGACCGTGGTGACCTCGGAACCTTCCGACGACCTCACCGCGCGGTCCGCCACCGAACGGCCCTCGGCCCTCGGAGGCCCCACTTGCCCGAGACGTCCTGAGACACCGGCCCGAGTCCCACATCCGTGCGGGGTCCCCGAATCCCCACCGACTCACCACACGGTGTGGTCGCCCCACCGTTTGGGACCCCCCAAAAACGGATTGCGCAGACACAATTTTTGATTCGCGGGTCGAGAGCGCACCTCTCCCGGTCGAAGCTAGGCGGGCCGCGCGAAGCTTGAATTAACAAAGAGGGGGGGGGGACAGAAGGAGCGCGGCCTCACGGCCGGATTGCGCAAACACAGGCGGTCGGTGCTCCACGCGGATTTCTTGGAGCGGCCCTGGGCCCCCCCTGGTTCGCGGAGCGCGCCCGCGGCGGCGCCGGAGGCGCCGCCCGAAAGGCCCAGCGTGGTTCCAAGAGATTCGAGCGGGGTTCCGGAAGTTGATGTCTATGCCGTGTCTTGACCTCGGGGGCGGCGAAGGGCACGGTGCCGCAGATGCTGTGGCACGTCCTGCTTCCCTCCCTGAATGCGACAGCGCAGTCGAAGTCCGCGAGCTTGATGGTGATGGCCTCGGTCGTCTCATTCACGATAATGTTTTCGGGTTTGATGTGTGTGAACTGGTTCACGGCGCGGTAACCGAACTCTGGGTTACCGTTCCTCATGCAAGCTCACTGGCTCCCTTGAGCCTCAGGTAGCTTGTCGTATCTGTCCATGTTCAGGTAGAAGATCTGCTCCCCACCATTTCTTTCCTCGTCAGTAACCATGCCCGTACAAGTCGTCTCCGCATAGTATCGTATTCTTTTTGTGTTCAACCCTTGACAATTCAACTTACACAATGGTCTCCGACATGCATATCTCATAGTGAAATTCCTCTGCATACTGAATAATAGATGTCGTCGAGAATCTCTCTTATCATCATTTCCCAAGTTGTACTCCTCTATATACTTGGCATGTGTACTGTATCTCCGTGTTGAAAGTTTTTGCCACTCCTCCAACGTCTTCTCTCCGATATTCCACCGTCCAGGGCACGTCTTTGCTGCGTGGCTCCATGCGACAATTTGTTCACCTTCTGCTCTGCGTAGTTCGATATCTCTCTCACACCTTGCACACTTGAGTATCGTTGCCAACGCTTGTTCGAAAGGGGTCAAGAATAGATGCATCGATTCATCATCCTTCGCCGTTATGTTATGAAAAAGCCGTCTCTCTTCTTTCCTCCGATGAAAGTTTGTTTTGACCTTTTTGAGGAGTGTCCTATCATCTTCGGTTAGCAAGTCAATGAGTACAGCCTTCAACGTATTGTGATTTGGCCTAACTCGCGGATGTTCCTTGATGTTCAAGATCCCGTCTTTTGTTTGGCCTCTGCTATGTATAGACTGTTTACCTCTCAACCTTCTCGACTGGTGTACCTGAAGATTCCCCTGCCAAGCTGGAGGTACGCTATGTGCTGGAAAGTACTGCATTGACCATGGCTTCGGTATGTCGAGTGTCATCCCTGTCGTCGCAATATTGAATAATAATGAGTTTGTCGCTTCTGGCATTATCATCCTGAGCCTCCCTTGGATCCCTGTGGATAATTTGAGGCTCAGTGGATACAGATGTCGGCATTCTTTCAGCGGTGGAATGATAGCTTGACCCTCCCTTTGTTTTTTGTCGTACGTCGTGATCTCCGTAATTTTGACCCCGAATTTCCTGAACATGTTGTTGGATGCCGCGATAAACATCTTTGCTTGTGTCCCGATCGAATTTCCTGGCCCCCCCGAGCGTAGTGCCATGTGTTCCCCTGTTGCATAGACGAAGTCGATCACCGCCGCTATCGAGGATGTCGTGTAGGCCGCCGCACTCTCGAAATTCTCGGGGGCCGCTGGGGGGTCTGGATCTATGTGCGTGTTCTGCCAATACCAGAAGATAGCCTCTGCATTGCTTAGTTTGTATATCCAATCTACTTTGTGGAACCTCAAGTCTGTCAACTTTTTCCCCTTGAGATATGGTTGACCAGCTTTGACCTCTCTCGGTTCCCGCCAGAAGTTCGGGAAGACCTGTTCTCTGGTGGCTCTCGTCCCCACGGTTCCCTCCGCCTTTCCCGCCGATGGCAGGACTGAGGTCACTGTTCGTACTTGCTTTTCTCCAGAGTCCCGAGGTCCTTGTCCTGGTTGAGGCGGCCCTGGGGTCCTCGGAGTTTGTGGCTTTGTACTTGTCGTTCCTGGCCTGGCCGGCGATGGAGTCGCCTCCTTCCCTGGCTCAACATGTCCTGGTAACTCTCCTCCTCGCTGTTTCCCTCGAAGTCGTCTCCGAAGGGGCTCAGGATGGGGTTCTGGTGGTCCTGGTGTTGGTGGGGGATGTAGTACTTGTTGCTGCTGCTCCGTGTCCTCGTCCATCCCTCCTCCGTGTCCGAATACATCTGGTTCCTCCTCAAATAAGGCCTCCTCTGCATTCCTGTCCTCCTCCAAATGATGACGGGCTTGCTCGTTTAATTCAGCCTGTTGTTGGAGAAACCCCTGTATGCGTGCTCCTCGATTGCCGTACCCAAAGAGTTTGAAGCCCGCTGCTGCTCGATATTGAACCACGTCTAATATCATGCTCTGGATGTCCTGTGCGAGCCTCACCCTCTTTTTATATGTGTCCAGGGTCTGCTCGTCAATTGCGTTCCTGAGTGCTGCTTGTACCGCACGCTTGTCTGCCTGTTCATTGTGTAGCCTTGCCTGTCTGCCAGCTGCCTCTTCTCTTTCAATCATTTCTTTCGTTTGATGACTCCGAACTTTGCGTACCTTGAAGTTTTCCTCGCCCTTCATCCTGATGGCGAACTCGATTCTTCTCCACAAGTCTCGGTGTGATTTGAATTTGATACTTTTCCTTTGTATAATAGATCTGAGGCCACGACATACATAGTCAGAATCGACAATATAAACTTGACGTGACCATGCCCATGACGCCCAGCGCAACGCTGCGCGAACCTCCGACCTCTGGGCCGACTGAACCGTCCCTCTCAGTATCTCCGTCGTGTTGTGCGAGTGCCCCTCCCCGTAAAAGAGCCCCCATCCAGCACGCCTTAATCTCATATCTATTTGCCCCGACGGAGCGGCTCCGTCACCAGCCACCACGAGATACCCTTCTGAGTCCACGCTCATCTCGTCTTCCTCTTCAACTTGAGGGGGGTGGGGGTCAGGGTCCTCTTGAACTCCCAGCGCAATTTCAGCAAATCTGTTGTCCAACTCATCATCATCCGCAATAATACCAGTTAGACGTGTGAAGAGAGGGACGGCATTGATTTCGTCCTCTGTGTATTTTTCGTACAGCCATCTTCTTGCAGGTTCGTGATGCTCGCATTCCCATAAGGCATGCTTTATCGTCTCTGTGATGGGCTTCTTGCAGCACGGGCAGTCGGCGCTCTCCAAATATCTCGGCACCAACTTGTCTGAAGTAATGAGCCCCGCCGACCAGAGAAGTCGACATGCTGCTCGTCTTGCATGTGACCATCTGTATGGCGATACAGCTACTCCTCCTGGGGTATCTTGTACGTCATAGTGTTTGCTTTTTCGGCGTCGTTGTCGATATAATTTCACCGTTGCTTCGTAATCTATCCCCACCTCCGTTCCCGTGTACTCCTCTCGTAAGTGTCGGTCCCGATGTGTGTGTATATGGAATCCCGTTTTCCAAACCACCTTCCTGAGATCTGCCCTCAAGATATGTCTGAAAAGCAAGTCGTCTGATTCAAGAAAATGTATCCTCCCTCCTGCCGGCCTAGTGATCACCAAATTCTCGTCTATTTTCCATTTGAGCTCGTTCAATATCGTCATGAATATCTTCACTGGCCCATGTATGTCATCTTTGTTCGGTGGTTCTTTCTCATATTCGATTATTATGACTTTGAATACCTCCAATATGTTCGATCTCTTTTGTAATAGCCGTCGTACTACCACCAGCGCCCAGTATCTTGATGCCATCCACGGATCTATCAAGTGCCCATGCGCTGCCAGTGTGAATGTTGTGATCCTCGTTCGATACATAGTTTTCCCCGCCAGTATGACTCGATGTATTCTGGCGGCCATGTGTTGTAACGTGGTCGTATTAAACAAATGTTGCTCGCATCCGTAGAAACCTGTGGGAGATGCGTACAAAGTCAGACATTTCTCACGGAAGTCATATGATTGCGGCCCTCTATCGATTCTTGCCAGTACGTCCGAGTGCTTCTCTATCCTGCGACTGGCTAGTTTGTTTCTCTGTTTGAGTGAAGCCGCTGTTCCATCTGATAGTATTCCACCGACCAAAATAATTGCCCGTGAGCATCTCAATGGTATATTGCTGAATGCCTTCTCCACTGCAGTTCTCATTTGTGATGTGCTTGCCAATGCTTTCGTCTTACTCTTGTTTAGCCTGCAGCCCGTGTATTTGCCAAACTCCTCACACTCTGCCAAGGCTCTTTTCCCGTTGTCGAGAACCTCGTCTAAGTCGGGCCCCCTCGTATTGATCGATGAATCGTCCACGAATCCCGCTGTGCTGCATCTGGTCTTTTCCGCAATCGAACGTGACCACACCGCCATCAGTGCCGAGGAAACTTGGATGCTGTAATTTGGTCCTTGTGCATATCCTCCCGCCCTAGTACGTGAGGTGTGCTCAACTGCCCTTCCCAATTTGAAGCGATACCTTGCCGAGTTTTGCAGACGTGCTTCTGCGCTCAAGTATCCCTTTGCATACTCCGTCGTGTTTTGATGATCCATATGTGCTTCTAATAATTTGCCACCAATCTCTCTGTGTATTTGATCGAAGAACTTTTCCCAATCAATACTTAATGTCAGCGAATGATGTCCCAGGAGTCTGGCTAGTTCTATCTCGATCGAATGACTCATAGCAACTTCTTGTGCTTCGTGTCCCGATCTAGCTCCATGCATGGATATTGGTAGCCAAGACTCCCTCCAACTTTCTGTATCTCTCCATCTTGCCTTTTCCCAACATGTGATCAAAGGTGTATAATTGTTTATTATCCTTGTTTTTGCTGCTGCCGGCAGGAGAAAGTCCCCCTCCCCGTTGTCGTCTGCATCTGGAACCTCGGATTTGCGCAGAGCGCTCGCGAATACCTCAAGCAGTGGCTCTGGCCAATCTCCTCCGTCCTCTATGAACTGAAATACCCTGCAGTATAACTCCGTGATCTTTCTTGGTAGTGCCTTGAGCTCCTGTACTCGGTAGCCGCAACCTGCCACCGCCCTTGACGCACTTAGCTCCTGAATAGCCTGGCGGTAGTCGTTCGCATTCAACGCCTTCAACTCGCATGATTCTTTCTTTATTAGATGGCCATATTTTTCCAGGAGCTTCTCCCACGTGATACTTGGGTCGCTCTTATTGAATATCGGATCCCATGTCTTACGTAGTTCCTCCAATACGTCATCTGGTCTTATTGCATAATGTTTCCCATGATTGGATATGGTATTTTCTGTTTGTTCTTCCACTCGCATGGCCGTGATCGGTTCATCTCGTGGAGGTCGCATGTGATTTCTAAGTGCAGCACGGTCTACTTTGCTGGCTGTCGTCGTCGTTGCTGCGAACAGTCTGGCTCTCCATGCTTGTAATCTCATTTCTAGTCCATGTCGATCATATCTGTCGATCTGGTCTTCTATCAATTTCTGTAGTGCTTGGCATTGTCTCAAGTCAGGTACTGCAACTTCCGTAATATCCGTAGTCAATCTCGTCTTGGTCAGATCTCCCACAATATTTGTCCATATCTTCATCAGTGCTCTCCATGTCTCCGTGTTCGGGGTCGGGTGGATCGTGTACTTGATGATCATCTCTCTGATTCCCCTTAGATTCTTATACAATCGTGCCGTTTTGTATGTCCAAGGATCCTGGGGTTTTGCATTTGACGCGGCTCTGCATGCCAGGGATTCTTGTGCCAAGGTGATCTCCCGACATCGCCCTCTTGTCCCCTGGATTTTTGGATCGACTGAGCTGCATCTTTCTTCAAGGTAATCTTCCGCAATCATTGTGGCCACCTCCAGCATCCTGGTCGGGTTCCTCAACTCATGTGCTTCTCGTAGTTCTTCTCCCCGTCGCTGGAATATTCTTTCCACTAGGAAATCTTGTTGATCTTTATCTATTTGTGCCATCTGCTCGACAGGAAAAGCTGCGGGTACCTTTGGCACCCATCTCATCAAATCCAATGGCTTCGTATTCAATGTTATCTTTATTGGGAGATGTCCTGGAAGTCGTGTGTCTCTCAATAATTCGTATGATGTAATCAGGGCCGCTGCCTCCATATTCGCAAAGATGCGATCTGGTCTGGTCACGTACTGCCCTGGACTCACCTTATCCCAATCCTGTTTCCCACCGTATGTTGGCTCTGGTCCCGTCGTTGGTGAGAATCTCTTTCCGATATCAACCCGCCTCCCTGTCGCCACAGCATCACGTATGACTATACTCTGATCCGTCAGGTTGGTGTCGCAGCATATCAGTGTCGGCTGAGCTCCGCACGTTGTCCCATTCGTAAAGATGTCATTCATCATTCTCTCCTTCCTCACCCTCGCCGCTGGGCTATGTCCAGCATCGTTGTAGAAAGTGATAACATGCATGAAAAATTTGGCCACGCCACTTGTCTGAAGCGGTACCGCCATCTGATGTATTCGACAATGCTCATATACTCGCCTTGCCTCTGTGGTCTTTGCCGTGCAAGATTGAGCGGATAAAGATTTGCGTACCAGAAAACCAACACCACCATGCACACTCGAGTTATCCAGTGTCGTGCTCGTGTTGGGTCTGATCTGTTGTATGGGGAGGGGCTTGCCACCTAGGAAGTCGAAGTCTTTGCTCGCTGCCTGTGCTGCCGCTCTTGTCTGTGTAATTGGCGTCAGTCGAGTCTCTTGCAGAGCTACAATATCTGCCTTTTCGCTGTTTAACATTCCAAAGATAGTGCCTTGATGCTTTTTCCAGCTAGTCACATTTGCTGAAATCAGTGTAAGCTTCGTCATGGCTCTCATCTCCTGGGGCTTTTAGATTGACCGTCTCTGCGTCCTCTCTGCCTTGCTTGGCTGAACTGATCTGCGAGCTGCTTTTTCATTTCCGCTATCTCCCCTAGTTCTTTCTGCAGGTTTGTTTTTAGCTCCAATACTTCCTGCGTTGATGCTTGCAGTGTGGACAGCCCGCTTCCTCTTGCTTCTAGTGATGCTTCTACAGCTGCTACTAGTGCTTGTGGCTGCGGTGCTCCTCCTCCTCCTCCTTCTGCTGCTGCGTGTTCTTGCTGTCTTGCTGCTGGTGCTCTCCTTAATGGCTTGTAGAATGAACCATTTGTCTGCTCCAGAACTGCAAATGCGAACTGCTACATTTTAGCTGTCGCCAAAGCCGCTCCTTTTCCTGTGATCGAGCTTGCTGCTTTTTCTTTCGTGAATCCTTTGAAGAAAACCTCTGACTCGTCCATCGGCTCATCCTTGGCTTCCTCCTCCTCCTCCTTTGTTATCGTCACCAGTGTGTTCCCAATAGTGAACGTATCTGATGAAGGCATTTGATGTGCTCGTACTTCCACCCTTTTGTACCTGCCCCGTCTCGTTGCTGTAGGGTACTGCACCGCCCATCCTAGTGTGTCCAATAACATCTTTGGTATGGCCTGCACCGGGTATGAAGCTGGGACCTTATCCAAGAAATATTTTGTCACTGGTGGAGGTTCTTTTTCCCTGATCACCCTCCATCCTTCTGCTTTATCTTTCTTCGCTAGTCGTAGCCGAAAGCTCACTCCATCTCGATTCAAGCGTAAACCATATGTTTCGCCCTCCATCTTATCCAGCTCTTCCCTGCCCTCTTCCACCGTGTAATAGCCCGAAGACTTTGCTGCTAGAGGAAGCCACGTTTCCTCCTGACGATCTCGTGTCTTTCCAGCATCGTCATAGCCACACGTGTCCGTGAACAAGCCGTCCTTTCCTGAATGCTTCCTGAGAAACTCTCGTACCTCTTCTGTCGTCGTTATGTCTACTCTTAGCGTGCGTGCTGTTTTGATCTCACCCTCGTACTGCTTTATACTGTTGATCGTGATATCCATCTCCTCGTTTGTGGCTTGGCCGTTTTTTAGCTGCTGCAAGTGCGCCTGGAGGTAGGATTTAGTTTCTTGTTTGGCTTCTCTCACAATACTCCATAGCTGCTTCTTGTCTTCTTTTGAGATTTCGCTGCTCCTTAATTTGCTGAGAGCCTCTGTTGCTGCTTTTTGATTCTTGAATAGTTTCTTGAAGATGGTCTCACCGTGATACTCACTCACCACTGCAATCATGTTCGTGAACTGTGTCGTCCAGCCTGGTGCTTTTGGTGCTGCTGTCGCCATCTCCAGTCTCGGTGGCTCGGTATCGTCCACTGCCGATAGTGTCCAAACCCAGCCCTCTCTTGTTTGTGCCACCTCCTTGTTTTTCCCTTCCTTCTTGATAGTTTTGGGGATGGGTATCTGGATTGGTGTCGGATTAATCTCATATGCCAGCGTTGCCGCCTTCAGTGCCGTCGAAGGTGTTGCTGTCGTGATCATTATATAATTCGTGCAATTCAGGTCCACCCCATCCAAGTTTTCCATCAATGCGATAGCTTCATTGTCTGTCCGTGCTAGGTAGACTCCATTCGTTGTCGATGTCGGCGGTGTATTCAGGATTTCCACGTTCCATACGTCTCTCAATCGTACTCCGTCTTCATGAAATTTATCTCCTTTTTGTGACTGTGGATTTGACTGCTGCTCCTCCTTTTTCTTCTTTTTCTTTGGGGGCTCCTCGTCTTGTCCTTTTTTGTCGTGTTTGCCATTGCTCCAATTGCTTTTTGGCTTCAACCTTGTCTTTGTGAAATTGCTTCGATATCTGATTGAATACTTTCGGATCTGAGGCTAATTTCTTTTTCATCTCGTTATTCATCTTCATGTCCATTGCGCTACATAAGATAGATATTGTCCTCGTATTTGCTGTAATTCGTGCCGCTTTTCCCGTCTTTGGCGAGTACGTGGTCGTATTACCATGTAGTGCGTGATGCTCACTCTGATTTTCTTGTGGAGTCTTGTGGCTTCTTGCACTTCGTACTTTGCGGTACCATGTCTGTGTCATTGCCTCTCCCAAGTACATCCTCGTGTGCGTCCAGCAAAACTCGGGAACGCCCCTCTCCGCACGCGTGTTGAATACCTCCTTGCGACCGAGTCCAACAAGGAGGGGCCCTGGGAGAGGGAACGTCCCCGTGGCGACTTCGAGCCAGGACGAACCTGGCCTTGATAAATTTTCCATCCCAAAGTATGTCTCGTCCTCTGTGATGTTCTTGTTTGTCGTATCTCCGCAGCCATCCTCTTTCTCCGATAATTCGCTCATGTTCAATCCCATATCTGAGCTCACTCCGAGAATATTGCTGCAAAGGTCTTTTTCTTTTGTTCTGATCGAGCTGCCTTGTTCGTTCTCGTCCTCTTGGTTGCTCCTGTTTGTCTGTTCCCACAAGTCATTGCCACTCTGGATCTTCGTCTCATTCTTGTCGCTGTCGGAGTCTGGTTCTTCCCTCATAAGTATTTCTTTTCCAAAACTTGAGGTAGCTTCCGCATTATCCCGCGTACGTATATCTTTACCATCATACTTGTCCTCGACGTTCTTGTTTGACAAAGCTTCCGAGCGATCCCACGTTCTGGTATTCTCTGGGCGTGACCCATTTCGCTCTTGCTTGTCCTCGTAGTCCGTCTTTTGTACTTCATGCCACATACGTAGATCTTGACCGTAATTTGAGATGTTCTCTGTGTCTTCCCTCGTACGCATATCTTTACCAAAACTTGAAATACTCTCTGTGTCATCCCACATACGTAGTTCTTGTCCAAAATTTATAGGCAAACCGCAGTTTGGCCACCCCATGTAGTTCTTCATCTTCTCCGTGGTCCCCTTGACCATCAGAATGTAGTTGTTCATGATCTGCACGATGTAGCTGATCATCCCCAAAATTTTGATCAATACGCATATCGATCTGACTTTCATGTCGCTCTTCTCCTTCGTGGTCCCCTTGACCTGAACGAGGTAGTTGTTCATGCCTGTCATGCTGAAGCTTGACATCCCCAAAACTGTGATCAATACGCATATCGATCTGCAGGTGTTCCATAACCTTCCTTGGACCCCTGGAAGGTAGTCGTCCTCCTCCTTGTAGTTCTTCTGGCTCATCGAGAGCTTCTCATTGTTGTACTGGTACTCGATCTGACGAGTACTATCATCTTCTCCGTGTACTTGGATCAAGAGCTCCCCTGGTAGCTCTTTCCCACCCCAGTATGTTGAATTCAAAACTTTGCTGAAGGTCTCTGCCAGCACGTCGTCCTCGATGAACTCCGTGCCGAGTCCCACCGCCATGACCTTGAAGTTGTCCCCGTCACGGAACCCCTCGGTCAAGGGCGCCTTCATCTTCAGCTCGACCACGTAGCTGAAGTGGTGGGTGTTTTCGGGTTTGATGTCGCGGTGGCAGATCTGCACCACCGCGTGCATGTGCCAAGCAGCCTCGACCACCTGGGTGGCGATCCCCCCCGGGGCCACGTCAAGAAGCGGGCCCCAGCCCAACTCTGGAATCGAGGGACACAGCCGGGACAAACAACCCTGTTACGTGCCGGACCCATCTGCAATAAGTGACCAGAGGGGTTGGTCCATAATTGTAACTTCGGATGACAACACACGGTGTGCGATTTGTTCCGCGAGCTGTGTGGGAAGCGCGCGCGCGCTGCGCGACTCACAGGACAGCAACGGAAGGACGAGGACTGGGGCCCCAGACTCGAAGAGCAGACGGGAGTGGGAACGACAGGGGGCGAAAACAGTGGAAAAGGGCCAGGAGGAGGAGGAGGAGGAGGAGGAGGAGGAGGAGGAGGGGGAGGAGGAGGAGGGGGAGGAGGAGGATGAGGAGGAGGATGAGGAGGTGGAGGGGGAGGAGGAGGAGGAGGATGAGAAAGGAGGGTGGCGATCATTTTCCAATGGCGCTCTGGACAAACGGTGCGGCCCGCGCCTTGTCGCTCGGGCGCTCCAACGAACCATCTGTTCATGGCTCGTGCAACAAGCGAACGAGGCCGAGCTCGCCCGCCAGGTTCTCCGTTTCTTTCCTGCACTTTGCAGTGCGGGAACCAAACGCCCGCAGGCGTGCCGCCAGGTGTTCGGGCGGCCCCCGGGACAGACAATCAAAGCAAATCTGACTCTCCGTGGGGCGTAACTCTGCTGCACCCCCCAGCAACCCCTGGAAATGGCGACAGAATCGCAGTTCGAGGCCGCCGATGAAGGTGAAGTCTATTCTACGTCTGCGTAGGGCGTCACTCCGCTGGAACCCCCACCAACGCGAAAGTGGCGACGTTTTCGCAGTTCGCAGCCTCCCAAGGGTGGCGAGGTCTCATCTGAACCTGCGTATGACGTCGCTCCGCTGGACTGCCCAACGACCCCCGAAAGTGGCGACAACTTCGCAATTCGAGGCTCCCCAGGGGTGGCGAGGTCTAGCTTGAATCTGCGTATGACATGACGTCACTCCGCTGGGCCCCCCACCAACTCTCGAAAGTGGCGACATTTGCATAGTTCGCAATCCCCCCAAGTGTGGTGATGTCTAGTCTGAAACTGCGTATGACGTCACTCCGCTGGACCCCCCAGCAGCCCTCGAAAGTGGCGGGGGTTTCGGAGTTCGCAGACCCCCAGGGATGGCGAGGTCGAACCTGAATCTGCGTATGACGTGCCTCCGCTGACCCTCCAGCAGCACTCGAAAGTGGCGACGGTTTCGCAGTTCGCAACCCCCCAGCGCCCCTTTGTCTCGCTGCGGCGATGCTCACAAACCAGCTCCCGAAGGCTCCAGTAATGATCGCATCGGTTCAGAATGCCCGGCGACAGCCGCGGGCGCCACCTCAGATGTTGAAGAGCAACAGCGATTCTGAAAGACGATCGTGACGAGGAATCAAGGTAGCATATGCGGGCCCGAAAAGCGAACGTCTCGCAAGACGGAAAGTGACGAAATTCCATGGCGGATCCCTATGGCGACCGCTGCGCAGAGTCGGACTAATATCTGCGCGCCCGAAGGGCAACCGCGTACGCGAGAAACGCGCCCTCCCCCCCCCGAGACGGCGAGGTCTAATCTGAGTCTGCGTAGTGCGTCACTCCGCTGGGCCCCCCACGCCAACCCTCGAATGTGCGGAGTTCACAGTCCCCCAAGGGGTGGTGATGTCTCATTTGAAACTGCGTGTTGCGTCACTCCGCTGGACCCCCCACCAGCACTCGAAAATGGCGACAGAGTCGCAGTTCGAGGCCCCCCCCAACGATGGCGATGCCTAATGAGCATCTGCGTATGACGTCACTCCGCTGGACCCCCCAGTAGCCCTCAAAAGTGGCGACAACTTCGCAGTTCGAGGCCCCCAGCGATGGCGATGTCGAATCGGAATCTGCGTATGACGTCACTTCGCTGGACCCCTCAGCAGCCCTCAAAACTGGCAGCATTTGCGCAGTTCGCAGCCCCCCCAGGGGTGGTGATGTTGAACATGAATCTGCGTATGACGTCACTCCGCTGGATCCCCCCATCAGCCCTCGAGAGTGGCGACATTTGCATAGTTCGCAGCCCCTCAGGGATGGCGAGGTCGAATCTCTATCTGCGTATGACGTCACTTTGCTGGACCCCCCCCCACAACCCTCGAAAGTGGCGACAGTTTCGCCGCTCGCAGCCCCCCCCCAGCGAGCAGAACGTACGGCGGCCAGGCGAGAGACAGGCTAGCAGGCACGAGAGAGACAGGTCAGCGGCAGAAGAAAACAGGAGGAGGGACAAGAGGAGGGAGGCGGAAGGAAGGAAGGTCGCGACCGCGGTGCTCTGTCCGCAACGAGAACTCAGCGCGGCAAGGCGGGGGAAGAGGAGATACACCAGGGAAGCAACTCCGACTGCCTGGACATTGTCGCACGCACTCCGTGCCTGCCCGCTCCGTCGGTCTCTCTCTCTATCCCCCTGATCTGTTTGCTCGTCCCGCTATCTCAGCTCACTCTGCGCCCTAAGATGTGATGCCCGATCCCGTTTCTGCCCACGAGCGTCGTACACATCGGAGATGAAAAGGGGGGCGAGATCGCAGTGGAACGGAAGCACCCCGCCGAGAAGTCGGTCTCGGCTTCGTGTCTGTGTGGAGCGTGCGGGGCGCAACTGCGTGGGCGGGCGAACGGAAGGAACCCTCCTCTGGTTGGGGTGCCGCCATGCCGAAAGACCGCCCCTCCGGGTTACCCGGCGGTGGCTGGGGGTGCCCCGCGGGTGTCCCGACAGGGTCCCGTCGGTGCCCCGTCGATGTCCTGTAGTGAAATCGATCGTGAGATCGATAGTGAGACCGATAGAGAGTGAGATCCTGAGATCGATAGTGAGATCGATCGTGAGATCGAAAGTGAAATGATAGTGAGGTAAATAGTGAGATGGAAAGTAACATCGATAGTGGGATCGATAGTGAGATCGATACTGATACCAATACTGAGATCGATCGTGAAATCGATAGTGAGGGGGGTAAGGAGAGGGATCTTGCGATCGATTGTGAGACCGACAGTTGGATCGATAGTGAGATCGATAGTGAGACCGATGGTGAGATCGATAGTGTGTTCGACAGTGAGTTCGATACTGAGATCCATAATGAGATGGATCGTAAGATCGATAATGAGACGTCGGTTCCTCCCCCCGAACCTACTTATCACCCGAAGGGTGGTCGTATAGGTATTGTTACATGTCACTCTCACTCTCCTAGGTATTGTTACATGTCACTCTCACTCTCCCTCTCCTCTCTCTGTCTCTCCCCCCTATCTCGCTACTCCACTCTCATGTATACTCTCTGATCTGTAAACGTTTTCTGATTCGGTGTTTCTCCATCGGGCGGATGGGGGAGGGGGGTTCTGGCTCCGGACATCTGCTTAGTGTGACTGTTTGCAACAATGCGTCCTATCGGGGAGACCCACCTGCTCGAAACAGGCGGTCAAAACAGCCACAATCTTCTCCAAGGGGGGGAGGGGGGGTGTGCGAGGGCCCACGCCGATCGGAAAAACAAGGAATAAGAAAACGATCACTATGCACTCTCTGTTCCATTCTATGGCTTAGCTCTTGTTGTATGTATTGCCCGAACAGCGCTTGCACTTAGGGGCTCTTCCGTCTTTTCTAAGGAACTGGGCCTGTCTGTCACTGGCGGCCATGTGGCCGCCGTCGCCGCCCCGTCGCCGCCCGACGTCTACGCCTGTTTGTCGGTCTGGGGGCCATGTGGCCGCTGCCGCCGCCCCGTCGCCGCCTCGTCGCAGCCCTAGACACGACAACATAGATTACACGGCATAGATTGCACCACATAGGTAGCGCAGCATATATTCTCCATTCCAAAGCATTATACCAGAGATAACCCCAATCAGAGGATGGTTTGAAAATTTGTGATATGGATGTTGAGATCGATTGTGATATCGATATCGGGATTGACAATGAAGACGATCGTAAGGTCGATCGTGCGACCAATAGTGAAATAAATCGATTCAATGAGATCGATCGTGAGATCGTTCGTGCGATCTATAGTGAGATCGATTATGAAATCGATAGTGAGATCGATTGTGAGATCGACAATGAGATCGATCGAAAGGTTGGTAATGAGATCGATGGTGAGACCGATCGGTAAGAAAATCAACCAAAAAAGCGGAAACCCGGGAACCCCGCCGCCCACCGCAATCGGCGGGAAACCCGGAACGGGGACCCCGGGAACCCAGCCAGCAACCAAAATCGGAGGGACACTGTCGCCAAATCTTCCAACATCCGCGAGGACCCCTTCAGTGCAAGCACTGATTGGGCAAGTATTAGGATATCCCCCCCCAAGAATTAACTGTTCTCTTTCTCGTATTGCAACTTACATATGATTCAGCCCCATCGCCCATATTATAGTTATACATCGATTATATTATATTAAACTTTTATATGATAATACAGTATATTATATTATATTATATTATATTACATGATATTATAGTATATTGTATTATATTGTATTACATTAGATTGTATTATAAAATATTACATGATATAATATTATATCATAATATATTATATCATATTATATTATACTATATCATGTTATATTATATTATATGATATAATATCTTATTATTACAGTATATTATATTATAATATATTATATTATAGTGTGTGTATGAATATACATATATATTAAAAAAATCATACACTCCCATGCAGACCGTTATCGCCCCCTTCATCCGCGGCAAAACATGCTATGCGCGCGCCTTCGTTTATCAAAACTCACAAATTTCAAGAACCCCTTGCAACATATGGGGCGAAAGGCACACGCGCTCATCATTCCGCACGCATGCCGAAATAGTGTAAAACACCGTGGGTTCCGCAAGGATTTCAAAATCGAATACCCCGAAAACATATACAAGACACGTGGCTTCGCAACACGAGTTTTCGGACAAACCAAAACTTGTGCTCGGGATCTTGCGAATGTTTAAATGAACCTTTGGTTTTCCAACATGTTCACAACATGCTACTC